TTCTTCAAGAATTAATTCCTTACAGTCCCAACTACAAGAAATTTACTCATGTCTAATCAAGATTAGGAAACAGATTAATTTAAGATTATTAATATCATTTGCAAGGTGATTTGGAACCCACCAAGTCAATGTATCCATTCGATGTAAGGTATGTTCCATGTAACTTCAGGTTATGGGTCTCGTTATGTAGAATACACAATTCAATTTCACACAAATAGCTGTATCTAGAAAGATGTACATTTTCATAAGTCTTCATTTCTCGCCATTGTGTTTAACTATTTTTCAATGTTAAACATTACTTTCGAAGACTAGTTCTAGGTCTAGTTAACGATAGCTTTAGAGGAAAATCGTTATAGGACGGTGTAAATAGTTACAATTTGTTTACTAAGTCATGATATGCATAAGCTATATATACTTAACGATAATTCTTTAAATAGTATATGAAGTATAAATTGTCGAGAAAGCAAAATTCTCTTCCTTTAAGCATAATATTTGGCTTGTTACCAATCAATCAAAACTAGGAGAGTTTGAATCACAACTTGATTAGCACAATTGTTTAAAACTCACATGTTTTGACTCTTATTTTTAAAACTTATCTTCCTTCAAATTTGTTTCCAATCACACGTTTTATGTGATCCGTAACTTTTATCAACACATTTTATAATCTTTTACAAAAATTTACTTAAAAACTAATTTTTATCTAAACCCAACACTTATAAATTGACAAACTTCATTTCAACCACACATACCAATATAATCATAATTACTATTAATATTCAGAAGTTCATCACTCATTTTTATCTATTGATAAATTAAAATCATTTACAAATTCTTCCCAAATATAGGCTTAGCAATAATAAGGAAAACCCATTAATTAATTGCAAAATAACTCATATTTAAATCTATAGCAATAATAATGTCCCAAGATCTCTTTTTTCCGACAGAGATCTTGGCCCTCATAGCAACAAATTGTCTACAAAACCAAAAATAAATTTTTGATTGCAACGTCAGTGGCTTGACTGTGCCATGATAAGCAAACAAATACGCTATTTTGAAAACAAAAAATTCATTCAAGTGCACCGTGTCTCTATGCAAAACACAGTAATCCCCCCATTGAAGCACCAATTTTGTGTTGTAAATCAAATTCAGACGATAGAACGATACAGTTGTAAAAAGTTGGAGTCAATTGGTGAGCTCGAACGAAATTTAAGGTTACAAAAGAGAAGGTTCTTTGAATGAGAAAGGCAAATGGGCTCGAGTCAAATTTCGTATTTGGTAGTAATCAATCACGAAGAGGTTTCACCTATACAATTAATGAGATGTCTATCGCTTATTTAGTGTAAAATGAACTATTTTATGTTGGGAGGATATCAACCAGTTAGCTCAAGATCAAGTATAATAAACGACACCAGAAATACCAATAATCAGAAAAACTGAAACCTAAAAGATTAAACAGCAAACTTCAAAGAAAGAAATCACCACAAGAATTTACAGAAACCGAAAAATAAGTGCAGAAACTTATCTTCTTAATAAAGCCCACAGGCAAAGGTTTCGTACAATCCTCAGTTCAAAACACTCAAGAATGAACCACCAAAATACTCGAATCAATACCCAATGTACAGATTACAAAGGTCAACACTCAGACAAGCCCTAAATATCATAAACGGCACTCTCTTTCACTAACAACCCGATTCACTTAAGAATCAGTACTCAATACAGGTAAATCACTCAAGATTACAATCGA